AAAAAGTAACATCAATTGCATTTTTTTGTACCCATCATCAACGAGGAATGATTTTTGATAAAACGTTTGCAGCAATGCGCAGAAAGAAGCATCAGAGGCCTCACAAAGCATCAAATTGTAAATCGATTCAACTATGTGCGTCTGTCCGTCCTAAGTAAAGTCTTTTGTAAGCATTCTCCTAACCTAGAAATATTGCAAGTTCTTGCACGCGGATTACTATTAAAAATTGCGCACGCCTGTAACAACATGTCAACTGAGAATACATCCGTTTTTCAGACGTAATAAAAAAAAATTTGGCTTTTGTCATTACCCATAAACTATAGCAAATAAACGGATAAAACATTGCGAGCATTTTTTATGGGCGATGCCATAGTACCTGTACAAAGATCAAAAAAAAAAAAAAAAAAATTGGTCATGCCTTCCCAATACTATAATGTATCAGAATTTAATTTTTTCTGCCACACCTTCAAAAGGCGCAGAAACAAGCTTCAAAAATCCCACAAAAACCTTACAAATTCCGCATGTCCGCCTGTTCGTCTCTCCATCTGTCTTGCCTGTCTGCTGCTACTGCGTAATATTTATGGTAAACATTCTGCCGTCAGCGAAATGCGATGATACAAATTTGCAAAAGAATTTGGAAATGACTTTAATCTTTCGAAGGACACGCCTATGACTCCCACACACCTATGCGACACAAATTTTTATTTTGTAAGTAGAAAAAATCAGCCGCGCCCACTCCATATTATAGGGCTTGAAAATTTAATTCTTCTAATTTTTGTGGTCTTTTTCAGGATAACTGTGATGTATACAAAAGAGTCGGTCACGACCGAATGTAATTTTCCTACTGTGACTACAAACCTATTTCAAACACTATTCCTTGTTATTAGAATGGTCTAGCGAAAGAAATTCATAGCGCACAACACCACAATAATCAAAAAAAAAAAAAAAAAAAAAATTTCGATCTTGGTCCTTCCCATCCTTTGGACGATATTTACTTAGTGGATCGTTGTATGCGTAGCTACAAGTCGTCTCATCTCATTTTATTGAAAAATCAGAAAAAATATTTCTTGGGTCGCAGCTGAAACACTAGTGACGTTTATAATATAAATTTTGATACAGAGACGTCTGCCGCCACATTGCTGTCAATTTAGAAGAAGATTATTCTGATGTACCCGCGCAATTTAATTTGATCTTACTTTTTGGTCACAGTAGTTTATTATATTAATTGCATTACAAATGTGGCAAAGACAAAATTATAACGAGACGAAAACATGTGCGTGGGAACAAAGCACCTTTCAAATTTCTGATGTACATTGCACATGCTAAGCAAAGCAATTTTCACAGTCTCATAAAAGAATGTCCCAAACAAAATTGAAGATCGTGCAAAAGTTATTGAAAGAAGAAATTGCGAGGTGCAGCACTGTCGCTAGATGCAGTGCAGTCGATGAGTGCGGCGGTGCAGCTACGTTCAGCACGGTGCTGCACTTATGAATTCAGCGGCCACCAAGGTACTGTGTGTTGCATCTAGCATTAAGAAATGAGTCTCAGTGTCTTCAATAAATTTTCTTTCATATTTACATTGGACTCAAAAACATTTCTTTCTTCAGTTTGTGCGAAATAATATCAAAAGAATTCAATGCTTACTCGATTATACAACTTATACGATACAGGTGTTCATGGAACAACTTTTCAACTTAACGCGTTACATGGGAAATGGTTGAAAAAATGATCATCCGATCAATAGCGTTTCTCCTTAAGCCAAACCACCACATGGGTATAAAGCAAATTTCATTAAAATATCTCAAAACACATTGATAGACGTAAAACGGACAGATACGTAGACAGACAGAGGAGCTTAGATTTATAATAAAAGATGATTGACTGACTATCGCAAGTCCTTCTAGGTGTTGCACACACTATACACACAAACATAATATAGCTTAATGTAGGGTATAAAAAAAGCAAAGAGATTTGCCTCGCTAGGTCTAACATCACCCTGTTTGGAATATACATACACATTCACGGACATTGAAATATGGTGCTCGCAACCGTCAGCATAATCATTAAAAGATAATTTCATTAGAAAGATGAAATAACGCAATTTATGGTAAAGAATATTGTAACATATATATACCGGAAATATAAAAAAAAAAAAAAAAAAAAAAA